AAAAAAATATATAAAATATCTAAATTATCCTTAAAATAAAATAAAATTCTTAAATTTACACCCCTTCTCCGCACCCCACACTCACCTTTCTCGCACCCTCACACTCCCCTTCCACCAGATTCCCGGCGAACGCGGTGGCGCCTCGCCATGTACAAGGTCTGCTGGAGCAGCGGCTGCTTCGACTCCGACATCCTCGCCGCGTTTGATGCCGCCGTCGCAGACGGCGTCGACGTGGCGTCATTGAGCGTCGGCGGCGTGGTGGTTCCCTAACACCTTGATGTGATTGCTAATGGCGCCTTCGGCGCCGCCTCTAACGGCGTTTTTATCTCCGCCTCCGCCGGAAACGGCGGCCCCGGCGGGCTTACGGTGACCAATGTGGCGCCGTGGGTGACTACTGTCGGCGCCGGGACCATGGATAGGAATTTTCCGACGGATGTGAAGCTTGGAAATGGTAAAATTGTACCTGAGGTTGGCATCTACGATGGACCGGGTTTAACTCCGGGTCGAATGTACCCGATCGTGTATGCTGGTGTAGAACAATTTGGTGGTGGTGATGGTTATTCATCTTCACTTTGTTTAGAAGGTTCCTTGGATCCCAAGTTTGTGAAGGGGAAAATTGTTGTGTGTGATAGAGGCATTAATTCAAGGACTGCGAAGGGTGCGGAGGTGAAAAAAAATGGAGCGGTTGGCATGATTTTGGCTAATGGTGTGTTTGATGGTGAAGGATTGGTGGCTGATTGCCACGTGTTGCCCGCCACTTCGGTCGGTGCCACCGGCGGCAACGAAATCCGGAGGTACATTGGGAATTCGCGGTCGCCAGCGACCGCTACAATTGTGTTCAAAGGGACTAGGCTTGGTGTAAGGCCAGCTCCTGTGGTGGCATCATTTTCAGCAAGAGGGCCTAACCCTGTTTCACCTGAGATTTTGAAGCCTGATGTTAGTGATTAAGGGAAGAGAAAGGAAAGACGTAATTGAAAGAGAGAAAACGGACGGAGATGGAGCCACCGCGTTCGCCGGGAATCTGGTGGAAGGGGATGTAGGGTGCGGGGAAGGGGGTGTAAATTTAAAAATTTTATTTTATTTTAAAGGTAATTTAGACATTTTATATATTTTTTCTTAAAAAAGAGGTGTGTTTATATGAGAGTGGAGGTGTGTTTATCATCTGCCAATCACTAATGTCTAATGGCAGATTTCCCCTTTTAAAAAAAATGGGCTGGATTTTGTTTCAGCTCAATTATGTTTCATTAACATAATTGGGCCGAATTCTAAATTAGGATAAATTCGACCCATTTACAGTATTATTGTTACGAAAAAAATTTCATTCGTGCCCACAAAAATAAAATTCTTTATTTATGAGAAGTAAATTATGAAAAATATAAAATAAATATTGATAACAATATCATTAATTTTATAAACTTTTTAATTGTGTGCTTAATTTTTCCTCAGTTGCTGTTTTAACTTATTTCCCATGGAGGAACTAATACTTGTATTTGGTTATTTGAATTTTAATACAATTAATTTATTTCTCAAAAAATAAAAATAATTCATATCACTGAATGTGATTAAAATAGGTAATGCAACTTACCTTTCAACCTATGTACAGAGGAAATAACCAGTGTGTTGATTGGTTTGTTAGGCAAGGTTTTCCTTTTAGCAAGTACAATGGTTACATGGACTTTTGAGACAGTTTTTATTAGCTGATGCTATCTATTTTAAGATTGTAATTTCTGTTTGTCTTTGTTTTTGTTTTCCACCGATAAAAGAGTTGTTTAAAATAGTATAGTTAAGTTAATCACAACAAAACGTTTTATATTAAAACATGTATTTCAGTGTTTGAAATTAATTTGAATAAATTATGGAACGGCCCTTTATCTTTTCGGCTTGCCATGTCCTGAAATAGGTGCAACTTTCGGCTGCTTTGCTTCGTTTTCAACCACTCATCCCTTTTTCTTCTTCTATTTTTATATTTATATATTGGTCTATTTGGCCATTGTGCACCTATAATATATAAACTGCATAACAAATTAGTATAAATTAATGTTCCCATAATGTCAAATCACACTCTCATCAGATTGGTCCGGGGTAAAAATGCAACTTACTGCACAATCATGTCAAACAATTTTGGGCAAATTCCACTGCTAAAATCATCTAATGTATTTTTATTGCAGGTAAATTAACCTATGACAATTAAAAGTATTAATCAACTGACATAGGATTTTTTATGCTTATCATAGGATTATTCTAACTTAACCATTATGTATGATTTTAGAGTTAGCGGAGATTAAGTCGTTTTGTGTTAATCTACCTACCATGGGATTAAGATTAAGCTGAGCGTAAATTTCTAACATTAGAGATTCCCTTTGTCTCTTAGGCACGATCTTCTATTCTTGATACATTCATTTTTCTATGGCCCTTTCTCTAATATTCCAACGATAAGTTATAGTGAGCGCGTTTCCACCCTAGGCCTAGGATAACTCAACATTTTTTGGTGTCAGAGTGAGTGGTCTTTTACTGATTCTTAGTTCAGCTAGTAAAACAGCATATCTAATTTTGGGTGATTCTGACCGTAAGCCAAACCCGTTTACTTTAAGAGACTACACTCGGCTTCGGTGGGATCCATTTGAACTGGATTCAACCCACTTTCTACAAAACTTCAAATGCATTGTGAAAATAATAGTTACTTAACACCAACCGACACTTTTTAAGGCAAATTATAAGCAAACAAATTAATTAAAACACCATTCTCTTGAAATAAGTCTAATTAATGCTCACAAATTTTGTTTCACCCTTTTCTCAATGGGTTTTGTTTTGGGGGTTACCGGGTTAGTGTTAATAAATTATGATTTATGAAACCATACACCGTGTGGAACGAAACATTCAGTGTGGAGAAACATAACTGAAGGTAGAGAAGATCTGAGAAGAGAAACCGTGATCGAACACTTCAATAACTGTTACCGTTACTTGTTGTTCCGAATTTCGCTTCTGGTGTGAACAGGCGTTTGTTGAAAAGGGACGGTTCCCGTAACATTGCAAGATAAGGGGGGGCTTGGTGGGTCTTCTTCTGTTGCCACCAACGAACCACAGAAGCTGTAAAGTTTGCTTCTTTTTCCCTGCATTTATTTCATCTTTGGTTCTCGTTGTGCTTTTTACACTGTTTGCATTTGTGGGTATTAATCATTATAGTGAGGTGAGGAAGAAGGAGAATGTCTATGAAGAGCAAGGGAGGAGGTTTAGAACTGAGTTCTAGGAATTTTCTACATAGGAAATGGGCTCTTCTGCTTTGTGCGGCAAGTTTCTGTGCTGGAATGTTGTTCACCAATAGGTAATTTGCTTATGGTTTTCCAAGGGTTATGCTCTAAGGAAGAACATTTTATTCCCTGTGCCTTCTGCATTAGGGCATTTAATCCACTCTTCTTTTTGTTTTTTGTTTATTTGTTTTATGCTTCTATGTAGATTGTAGTAATTGTTTGTGTACAATTTCCCATATGATTTTTTATTTGTTTCATTAAATGACCAAGCTCAATTTATTCTTCCCTCATAAGTCATACACTTCTTGCATCTCCTTCAATTCCGCTGAGTCAGGAAAGGGATAAGTAGGTGTCCATATTTTATTCCCCCTCCCTCCCTCTCTCTTCATGTAGTTGCTGAAAATCGTGAAGTTTTAATCGAATGAAGGTATTGGAGTGAGCTTAATTAAATGGAGGCTTCTTTTCATATGGCATGACCTGTCATCATCAGTTTATTGACCTTTGTTCATCTCCCTTGATTTTCGCCCTTATTGTTTGAGAACAAATGTCCACTTATGAAGCTAGGTTTATAAATTAAGTGTTCACACTCTTTGTTTTTATTATCAGAAACTGGAAGTGCAGGTCTTCTTTTTGTCCAAATTCTATGCCAAGTATTATGATATACGTGTAATGCTGCTAATTCCTGTTTTGTATCAGGATATGGTCAATGTCTGAATATAAAGAATTTTCAAGGACTTCTAGTGAGATTGAAAGAATAAAATTAAACTCCGAGGATTGTAATCTAAATCTAGTAAGTGTATACCAGTTACTCTTTTACACGTTATATTATTGATATTATTCTTTCGTGCATTTTTCCCCCATCCCCTATTATGTAGACAATAGACCGTCACTTATAACAACCTTAAAAGTTCCCTCCCCATGACATGTCACTAATGGAATGGGGAAAAATGTATTTTGCCCAACCTCTCATGTCTTTGATATGCTCTCTCATATGGACTGAAGTGTGGACAACAAGCACATGGCACCAATACATTGTATTGATTTAAGTTTAATTTAGTTAAAATATGAACAAGGGGAACAAGGGTTGAACTCTTGCTTGGTTGCAGGGCCCTTGACCAACTATTTCAAAAGATTAGGTGTTAGGTGCAAACCAAGAATGCTTTTTATCTATTACATTTTACCCTAAGGTAGCTTTTGAAATTTTAATATCTATATAGTTTAAATCTAAGGGTATAACTAATGGCTACATCATCTTCTGCTATTTATGAAAAGTAAAAAGATATATAATCATGATATGTTCTACTTGATGTTTTGCCTTTGTCTAAAGGTTGTAAGGCCAAACTCCAATTACAGTCAAGTGGAAGTTTCAAATACACGGAATGTTGTCAACAATGTTGTCAAGTAAGTCAAGCCAATGCTTTTTTTCATTGAATTTACTTATACACTTATTAAATAACTACAATGCTAAATTTATTTCTATACATGAATTGCAGGAAACCGAGTAAGACAATATCTAATTTGGAGCTGAATCTTTGCTCCGCTACTTCCTGAATTTATGCTGAATGGTTGTCCTGTATCAGGGAAGTCAGAGACAGTTGATTCAACTGCAAGGAAAAAATATTTCATGATTATAGGCATCAATACAGCTTTTAGTAGCAGAAAGCGAAGAGATTCTGTTCGTGCAACATGGATGCCACCAGGTGATTTAATGATATTTCAACATTTTCTAATTTTTCCTCTATTAAAAGTTCTCCTTTAGCTTGTTTAAGGCTTTACGTGATTCCATATGCCTCATGTATCTGATCCATGTTTTCTAATGGAAATTCATTAGCTGAGGAAAGAAAGAAGTTAGAGGAAGAAAAGGGCATAGTCATACGATTTGTTATAGGTCACAGGTTAGATTCCTGATATCCGCTGTCCTTTTCTGGCATGTTTACCTATTTATGATTATTCTGTTGCACTTAATTTCCCACATGATCTGCTCAGCATAACTTTGTGCTCATCAAATTATTTCCAATAGATATTTGTTATTCTCTCATTCTGATGCAAGTTGTGTTTATTTTTCTATCCAACAGAATTTTTTTTACGTTGTTAATTGGTAGTATACTCATTCTTTTAGTTGAAGGAACTATAAATAATTATTGTCAAAATCAATGATACGAAGTCATGAAACCTTGGGTGTCTCATACATGATGGGTTGAATTTGTATGTCCTTGAGTTAAATTAACCAATAACCTTAGATTTAATTAGCCTTTTTATATGTAGTTCTACATCCGGTGGCATTCTTGACAGAGCTATTGAAGCAGAGGAGAAGCTTCATGATGACTTTTTGAGGCTGGTGATCTTTCTCTCCTGCCACCCTTTTGTTTAGATGCACACTCCTATATCTTATTCATATTGTGTTGACTTATTGTTGTTGATTAAACAAATTACATTTTGTGTTAAGCAGAATCACGTTGAGGGCTACCTAGAACTATCAGCTAAGACAAAGACCTACTTTTCAACTGTTGTTGCCTTGTGGGATGCAGAGTTTTATGTCAAAGTTGATGATGATGTTCATGTGAATTTAGGTAAATAGAAAAAATATTCATTGTTTTACCATTAATAATTATATGATATGCATGGAATCATAGGAGAAGTAACTCCGATGAATTGGAGTGATAAGTCTAAGTCACATGTCTTACTTGTATATGCATGACAATAACTTCACAATCACATGCCTTTATAAAAGAACAATAAATCATTTAAATTTATAACAAATGTTTTATGAATGTGATAACTGAATGAGGAAGGGTACTACTAAAAATGATAGTAAGAAATCGGCTAAAAACCTAATTTAGTCCCTTATTATAATTATTTGTTTCAATTTAGTCCCACTTTAATTTTTTGTCTCAATTTAGTCCTTAATAAATTAAATTGTTGCGATGTCGGACTTCCGTCCAAATTATTTAAACGGAGTTAACTAGATGCCACGTAGATGCATAGGTGGATGCAAAATTTCTTTAATGCATCTGGAACCAGAACGGCCTGTTCTGAAATCAGAACAACCCGTTCTGGTTGCACATGTTGTGTGTTAATTTTGAATTTGGAACAGACCGTTCCATATGCAAAATTAACACACCACGAGTGCAGCAGAACGGGCCGTTCTGGTTCTAGAACGGGCCGTTCTGGATTCAGAATGGGCCGTTCCAAAACGCCAACCACATACGTACATTCAACAAAATGCCGCAATGTGATTCAAAAATTGAAAATAAAAATTCATAACATATCATAAATTCAAAGACAGAAATATGGTTCAGAAACTGAAAATAAAAATTCATAACGTAACATAACATATACTAAAAAAGTTCAAAGAAATTACTGAGAAGGGAAATCATCTGGATAACGTTGAAGGTATCAATAATATATCTTATCCACCATATAACACTGAATGGCTGATAGGATATCAGCATTATCTACCTGTACATGTGGTTGTGTGGTGAAATGTTTGTCCTATGTATCTTCTTCCTTTACTTCAGGTTGTACCTCCTCAAGAAGAGGTTGTTGTTGGGGTACATCGGTCAATGACTTCAAGGGGAAACACAATGTCGTTTCATCCTTGACTGTATAGTGTCAATTTGGTAGTAAGTGATTCACTCCAGTTTGACTAACAATGAAATAAAACTTGCTACCATTGTCCTTAGTGATATACTATATTGTCCTTAATGATACACTGTATAGCCCAAATGTTTAGCAATTGAAGTTATCAATCCCCATAGACAATATTACCAAATCCAGTGTTTGAAATGCTTTGTACATTGGATCTTTTTCCTTGCACGATTCACAACCGTGAACTATAATCATCGACCGTTTGTGTTTGACATTCTGAACCAGAACGGCCCGTTTTGGTTGCACTTTTTGTGTGTTAATTTTGGACCTGGAACAACCCGTTCCAGGTGCAAAATTAACACACTAAGAATGAAATCAGAACGGGCCGTTCTAGTTCCAAATGCATTAAAAAAATTTGGCATCCACTTATGCATCCACGTGGCCAATAGTTAACTCCGTTTAAATAATTTGGACGGAAGTCCAACATTGCAACAATTTAATTTATTAGGGACCAAATTGAGACAAAAAATTAAAGTGGGACTAAATTGAAACAAACAATTATAATAAGGGACTAAATTAGGTTTTTAGCCGTAAAAAATCCTATTGAATTTTTTACTTTGTGATTTAACATTATATTAGACCAGGATTTTTTTGTGTTTTGTTTTATTAGTAAAATTGCCTAGGGTGGTACTAAATAATGAAGTAAAATAAATTATCTAAGGGTGGTACACATGACTGATTTTGTAGGAGAAACAACACAGGTGGCTCAACTAACAATGGGCTTTTGAAATCTGTCTACTTGTATTCTTGTGCTGTATGAGAGCATAAATCCCATATCTCGTAGCACAACTAGTTTCATTTATCCGTCTGCAGTTTTTTTAATTGATTGCATTAAAAAGTTGAGGACTTGGGGTTAGACTAAAATATCTGCAATAGGGTTGACAAGGCACCATTACATACGTTTTCAATTGACAATGCTTAAAATCTTCTCTGAGCTTATGGTATAGTTTTATATTTTATGCATTCTGCAGTGATTTGAGGATTGGTGCATTCTCTATCGAACAGTCTTGTATGTTGTTCTCATAGTTGTATTTGAAGTTTTTTGCTTCATTGAATGGACTTAAATACAAATTGACAGAAGAACGAAATGCATAAAATCCACTTGACTCTTGATTATTTAGGTTTTGTTTGACTAGCTTCTTTACACTTCATAAATCATAATATATACTTCGTTATCTTTGTAGATTGTGTGGATTCGGTCAAATGGCAAAGTCATGATCATTGTTATGTAACTATGCTACCATAATTGTTATATAAACATTGCATCACTTTTCTCATTGTGCTTATTGTTTATTTTTCTATCTCAGCAACGCTTGGATCGACTCTGACTATGCACCGTACAAAACCTCGGGTGTATATTGGGTGCATGAAATCTGGTCCTGTCCTTGCACAGAAGTAAGAAAACCTGTATTTTATTTTTACAGTTATAGTTTACATACACTTTCCTAGCGTAACTGTCTTACCACAGGGGAGTGAAATACCATGAACCAGAATACTGGAAGTTTGGAGAGGTGGGAAACAAGTACTTCCGTCATGCTACGGGACAACTATATGTCATTTCACAAGATTTGGCTTCGTATATATCAATAAATCAGTAAGTCTTGTTTTCCTTGCTCAAAACTGTTAAGGCACACAAAGGCAAGGGGATGTTTGGATGTCAGTGAAATTGAGATTTTCATTAGGTAGAAATAAGTGCAGACTAACAATTTCATGGAGTCTTCTCTACTAGTATAGAATTAAATATTACACCAAGTAGTCTGGCATATAGTATTTCTTTGGTTGATTGATGACAATTTGATTCTAAATGCCAGGGAGGTGCTGCATAAATATGCTAATGAAGATGTCTCATTGGGATCTTGGTTTATTGGTTTAGATGTGGATCATGTTGATGATAGGAGAATGTGTTGTGGCACACCCCCCGGTATGTTGATTTTTATTTTTAACATGATCTATTTAAAAGAAAATTCATATCACACCAGTATCATTGATCCAATACTTTTTCAGGAGCATTATATATAAATCTCAACACCAATGAAAAACTTGTTATCTGAATGTTCATACATGTTTGAGATATCATCCTTTATGATACTCTGGCTGCCGCAATTCCATTTAAGCCTGACATAATGATCATTTTTCCGTGGTGTTTCTTGAATAGAAGACATCATAACATGTATGTCAAGATTTTAATTATTTACGTGCTACCCTTGTGCAGATTGCGAGTGGAAGGCGCAGGCCGGTAACATCTGCGTGGCTTCATTTGATTGGAAATGCAGTGGAATCTGCAGGTCTGTTGAGAGGATGAAAGAAGTTCACCAGCGTTGTGGAGAGGATGAAAACGCATTGTGGAGTGCAACCTTCTAAGCTAAAGAATATGAATGGTGCATGCAGGCTATAATATACACGTAAGTAAGTATGAGAGTAGTAGGATAATATTAATATAGATAGGTGTAGCTGCTATTTGCTATCATAACTGAGGAGATAACCCTTCTGCAGCCAAAGAGAATGAAGAAGAGAAGAGTATAGTAGCAACCAACCAACCCATTCTTTTGTTAAGTGGCTGGAGGCCTTTGTAATTTGTATTCTAGTTCTCTGCCACGTCTAACGCTTGTTAATAATTACTTGTGTCTTTTATTACAAGTTTAATATTATATTTTTATTTGTTTCTCAAAAGTGTTACTTTGTCATTTTTGTTTTCCTCACTAACCATTATTAGTTTACCTGTTTTTTTGTCTAAGAATAGTTCGTAATAATCTTCTTATTGAAGATAACTAGTATAATTTATATAGAAAGAAAATTTCTAATCAAGTTTTTATTTGCTTGCAGTATCTTCCTTGTTATAGGAAAAATAAATTAAATGAAAAAATAACTACATTTAATATATATAAGCAACCTTGGCTAAGATAAATATGGTTCTAAATTTCTAATATATTGTTTATATTTTGATTTTTTTTTAAGTTTCTATTTCTTCTTTAATTATAGAAATAATGTTTTGGTTTTTAAAAAACAGTTTCTACTTTTACCTTTAATTGTAAAAATTATCCATGAACATCGTGCATCACAAAAATGTACTGAACTCTTTGTTTTTTGGTGATTACAAGAAACTAATTAACCTGAACACTATGAACTTGTATTTGACATTAGTTGAACGAATTGAAGTTGGCTTAGCAAAGTTAAAGGTTAGTCGGAGCTTAACTTAAATCTAAGCTGGATTTTGGATTCTACCAAATCAAAAAAAAAAAAAAAGTTAGAAGAAAAGACATTTACACAAACAAGTACATACCTCTTGCTCTTAAGATTAAAGTTATTGGCTCGTAATATGAAGCCACTGGGACATGATATTGTTGGATATTTATTTTTTTGCGTTGGGTTGGGTACACTGCCATGTGTCCTTGTAACGAAAAATGGTTGCAACGATTGGGGGACTGTTACAGACGGTTATTGTCAACTGTCAACCATCGCGGGGCAAAGCTACCTTCGTTCGTTAGGTCTCTTTCGCCAAGTGAGCCTTATACCATAGGCTAATGAATAAAAGAATCCTTTTTTTTTTCTTTTCAAAATTGTTAAGTATTTACAATAATTATATATATATTAATGGGATCCATATATTTTATATTTTTATATTTTATTTAATCATTATGTTTAAAAATTATCGATAGATTAATTGATATTGTATTTGGTCTTCAAATTTAAAGATTTTGATCTCAAGTTTCATCTTTGTAAAAAATAATTAATTTTTAATATTATTTTTATTATTTAAAATTTTAAAGATAAAAGTGTCTAAAAATACGTACACCAAATAAAGTAAACCCCTTTATTATATGTATTATATATATATATATATATATTATTTGAATATTTATTATTATTATTATTATTATAAAATAA